ATGAGTCACCTGCGACGGCGTAGGCTGCAGCCCCTGTGGCAGTGGGTTGCCATGGGCTACTGTGTGTAGCCAGCAGCCAGCGTGAGCGGCCAGTAGCCGCAGTGAGCGGCCATCCAGAAGCCGGCGACTGATCTGCCTCACCCGGGAAGAGCGCAATTATGGTGCCAACTTGGGCCAGTGAAGCAACGCCCTCGACAACTAGACTGAAGAACAAAACAACAGCAACTTGTCTGTTCCCCTTCCCCCAATTCCCCAATAAAAATCTTTAAAAAAAAATGATGAATATAAATCATGTTTGACTTCTGCAATTACAAGAGATGCTCAAAGTGGTTACCATCAGCGTCCAGACACTTCTGATAATGTTGAACTACTGCTTGAGCAACTCTGACCAAAGGGTCCAATTGTATACATTTTTTTGGCACCCCCGGTATATACAATATATGACCTACAATCATATATATACATACAGATACACACACACAAAGATAGTCATTAAAGCAGAGTTTGTGATAGCAAAGGAACTGAAACAATCTACAGGTTAGAGGTTAACAATGGTATATCCATAGAGGAGAATGCTATGCAGCTGTAAAAAAACAAAAAACAAAAAAACAAATCCAAGAACAAGCTTTGTAACTAGGAATACAGAAAGATGGAAGACATCCATGGTATACTGTCAACTAAGAGAAGCAGCAGGGTAGAGAAGCAGAACAGTGTAGCGTGCACTGATATTTGTGTAAGGAGGGGGAAAAGAGGAATACATACATACAGACATATGCATATGTACCTGCTTCTATTTCCATAATGCAACACTGATGGCAGTGGTTTCCAAACTTGTCTGCATCCTGGAGTCACCTGAGGAACCTCAAAAAATCATACCCCCAAAGGCTGTAATTTAATTAGTCTGGGGTATCGCCTGGGCTTTGGAATTGTTTAAAGATCCCCAGATGATCCCAAAGGCAGACAAGTTTGGGAACCACTGCTGTGAGAATACAAAGGTATTACTAAAAGAAGTAGCTTTTTGTGCATCAGGGAGCCTGGACAAGAATGAGAGCAAGCTTTCATTATAATATTTTCAGATTTGGTTTTGACTGTGAACCATGTGAATGTATTAATTATTCAGAAAATTTAGTTAAATAATAAATTAATTTTAAAAAAAAGAAATAGTTGCTTTCACATGTTGATTTTTACGACAGCTCTTATCCAGGGTTTAGAACTGCCATAACATCAGTGTCAAAACAAGTTTGTAATTATATCTTGAAAAAATTCAGACTCTCAAGTTTTCTCTATTTTGGCCACAGCTATAATCCTTACTTAAGTGTAATTGATGATATGGTTTTGCTGCATTACCTGTTTTTATATACCCAGCATGAAAGTTTATCACGTGGTGTGGGTGGTTTTCCTTCAAAGTTGGTAATTTTTTCCCAAATGTAGGTTCCATCTCTTGTTCTCAAATTAACAAAATAAAGCTTTTAAAAGAAGAGAACACCATTAACAGACAGGGCATTTGAAAATTAAATCTATATCTGAGAGATATGTGATCCAGAAATTAATACTATTACTTTTTCTTTTTAAAAGGTAAAAAATTTAATTGTAGAGTTAATGAAAATGAGACTGTTGTAGAAGCAAAAATGATATATAAAACATACTGAAATAGATCTTTTCCCATCATGCCTTTGTCTTATGTATATCAACTAAGTATGTAGTTAATTCTGTAGGAGAAAGACATGGGAGAAAAGCACAGCTACTCCATTTTTACTCTAAAACCTTATCATCATAAACACAAGATTTTCTACTTATATCTTCTTTTTTAAATATTTGTAAACTTGTGAGACGAAGTGACACATTAAATATTCCATTTTGCAGCACTCCTGAATTGAAAGGAAATATTACTCGATTGCTGTATCCTTTGTCATCATATCCTCCAAAAACGTACAGCTTTCCATTAAGGCAAGCGCCACAACTTCCCGACATGGAGGTAGGGAGTTCTCCTTCCATGAGGTGCATTGTCCTGCAGCAAGAATAACATGGAACTTTATAACTTTCCAGAAAGGCAAATTTAAATGCCCTTTGAACAACATGAGCCCTTTTTAAATGAAAATTGTCACTGACAATTACAATTAAAATGTAATGGTAGCCATTACATTTGGCTGCCATCTAAATGTAAAACTCTTAAGAGCATCCAAAGTAAAGATTTTTCAACCTACTGGAAAAAATTTACAAATACTTTGTGTGTCACCAAAATTGGGAATAATTAGTAGAACAAAGTCTTCACAACAGCCTCAGTCTTGAGAGGAATGATAAAGGACAGAGTGGAGAAAGGAAGGGAGCAGGGGAAAGAAAGAGCCAGAGAGAATAAATCATTGAAAGAAAAGGGAGACAATCAGTGTTGCAGAATGTTCTAAGCATGTCTTAAATTTCCAGTAGTCTATGAAAACATTTATAACACATATTCAGATTGGACATTCTGCAATTTAAAATTACTTACCACAACCCACTATCAATATCATAGGTCCAAATTTCATCATTAGGCAAATATACTTCATTGTCTTCAATAGACTAAAAACATAGAATAAAATTATGTTTATCAATTACATAGTAACAATTAAATAGTTCCTCAGAATGGGAGAACTGCAATTAAAACACTGCAAAACACAAAATCATAAACAGTTTCAAAGATTTGTTTTGAGTATTAATTAAGATAGATCAAAAGAGAAAAGGAAAAAGACATTTTCTAAGAGAAAGGGGGAAAACAATAAAGTTTAGAATACAAAATAGCAGGTACATGACTCTCAAGAAAAGACTCAAGAGAAATTAAACCTTTAAAAGGGACTTTCAGTAAGAGAAAATGGCAAAATAATAACATTCAGAGTAGAATATTGAAGACAATAAAGCCAGGAAGAAAATTAATATTAAAAAAATTAATATTTTGTGTGAAGGTTAGGATTTAAGGAAGGAAATTTTTATATGGTATAATTAAGAGCACTATATTAGATACCTTGATTCACTGAACATATTTTTGAGTGCCTACTATGTGCAAGGCATAGTTAGGTGTTAATTAACAACAGAATCTAAAGATCAAGATAAATTTAACAAGTCAAAATGATAACTCAGGGCTGGCCGAGTGGCTCAGTTAGTTAAGAGCTCGCTCAAGAGTTTGAGCTCTGAGCAACAGCGGTTCAAGTCCTGCCCGAGCTGAGCTGCCGCTGAGCTGCCAACAGGTGGCAGGATGGCTCAGCTAAAAAAAAAAAAAAAAAAAAGATAACTCAGAATCTGAATAATCTTAAAAAGCTGATGACATAAATAGAATAATATATTCTGACATGATGAAAAGAGAAATATGAATAGAATAACAATCTTATTTATATTAAGTTAAAAAACTTAGGCGTTAAAACAAATCCTTACATAAATCCATTAAAATTTCTTAGAATTCCAAAAGAGTCAATTTTTTTTTTTACCAGATGCCAAGTACAGAAAAATGAGACAGATGGCAAAACTCTGATCACAGTAGTTCACAGGATAGAAATGATCCAGAGTGTTTTCTTCGCAATGGAGGCCTTGAGATCTGACTGCCTTCCATTGTCCTGCCTTTCCCTTTTTGGGAAAATTCAGCCTCAACTTACATTTCATGGTTACAGTATTGCCCCATCCCCAATGGTCCTCCATTTCAATAAGATGACATCGACACTGCGACGTCCTAAAAATGAGCAGTCCTAGCACTGTGGAACCACACTATCCGACCAAAAGGTTGGTCATCAATGCATCCTTCAGATTGATTTATGATTAAAAGGGGGAACTGTGGATGACAAAAAGGTTCTACAGAAAGTAACCTCACAGGGTGATCTGATCATAAATTCCTAACTGGGCAGGTCATGGTGGGCAGTCATGCCCCAGGCCTATAACTTCTTTAAAGGCCTATCTTTGCCTTAAGCAGGCCTGTTAGTTGTTTCTGTGCATCTAAGTTAACACACTCCTTCTGAGCATGACCACCCTCAAGAGAGCACATAATCTTAAATAATCTGTAATCCAGTCCCCACCTTGCTTTCTCCCACCTTCATGTAATCTTCCTTACTTTTGCTCCTTAATTCCAAATGCATAAAAGAAACTGTGAACTGTTATTCTCCAGAGCATCTGAGATCTTGTTCCTAGGCATATGTCGTCAGTCTGGCTCAAATAAACTCTTATAAAAATCCAAAAAAGAAAATAGCCAATTTTAAAAGATAGCAGTTAAAGAATTTCTAAGACTGCACAATGCATAAATTGTTAATATGTTAAGTAGATTTGGCTTCTTTTCTTATTACTATGTTAAATTTTAAAAATAGTGTCTTGACTATTAGGTATATCCCCCCCCCACACACACACACACACACAGAAAACCACTCTATTAATTCCAAGGAAACTTCCACTCGTGTCTGACTGAGGACATATTTAATAGCTAAGTAAACAAATAATTAAAAGAAGGGGAGTTAATTGTATGATTCTAAAGTTTAATGGCATCAGGCTCCATCCAGTAGCCTGTGTGTACATCTTTATAACAGAAATATTATGAAAATGGATTCTGTCATTACTCTGCATAAATCCCTCCAATGCTTCCCTACTGCTTCTCTCAGAAGAGTCTAAAATTCTTATGACTATACTACTTGGCACTTGCTATCCATCCATCCAAAATTCACCTTGCATTTCACTCATTATGCTGCAGTCTTCTTCCAGTTCCTAAACCTCTACAAGTTCCTTGGTACAATAGGGCCTTCAGCTATGTTCTTCTCTCCTCTTGGAATGCTCTCCCAGACTTTGCCTGGCTAACTGATTCTTTGGGAATCAGTTTAAATGTCACTTCTCTAATATCCCAGAATAAGGTTAAGGGATTAAGTTCCCTATTAAATGCTCTCATACAGCCCTGTACTTCCTCTTCGAAGTCCTTTGTCTGTATCATGCCCACCCACCACCACCACTAACCCTTAAGATTCCTGAGTGCACAGATCATGTTTATCTTTTATAATTTCGTTCCCAGAGTCTAGCACAGTACCTGACACATAAAAGGCAAATGGGGGCCGGCCGAGTGGCGCGATGGTTAAGAACTGGCTTGGGATGCCAGAGGGCCCCGGTTCGGATCCCACATATGAGGGCCAGTGACACTGCCCTCCACAGCTAAGATGCTGAACAACAGCTCAACCTGGAGCTGGGCTGCCGTGAGTCGTCGGCGACGGCGTAGGCTGCAGCCCCTGTGGCAGTGGGTTGCCATGGGCTACCTATGTGGCCAGCAGCCAGCGTGAGCGGCCAGCAGCCGCAATGAGCGGCCGTCCAGAAGCCGGCGACTGATCTGCCTTGCCAGAGAAGAGCGCAGTGATGGTGCCAACTTGGGCCAGTGAAGCAACGTCCTCCACAACTAGACTGAAGAACAAGACGACAGCAACTTGTCTGTTCCTCTTCCCCCAATTCCCCCAATAAAAAAAAAAATCTTTAAAAAAAAAAAAAGGCAAATGGAACATTTGTTGATTGAGTGAGTGAATGGTTAAGTAATACCTGTTAAACTGACTGCATGGTCACATCAGCCTGATTAAAAAGAAGAGTTCTGGGCTGGCCGAGTGGCTCAGTTGGTTAAGAGCTCGCTCAAGAGTTTGAGCTCTGAGCAACAGTGGTTTGAGTCCTGGCCCAAGCTGAGCAGCTGCTGAGCTGCCAACAGGTGGCAGGATGGCTTAGCTAAAAAAAAAGAAGAGTCCCTTTCACTAATCTTTAAAATGAATAGTATAAAAACACAAATGAAGTACAGAACTGAAAATTTTAGACCTAACTCCTTCTCACTTTCTCAGCGATTGCACTCCAAAATTATCCCTTCTTTTCTAAATCATCACGTTTTCCTTCTCTACTGGATCACTCCTATGGATATCTAAACATGCCTTAATGTCACTAATCTTTAAAAAAAAAAATCTCTCCCCTAATTCCTATTTCTCTGCTCCTTTCCATTCTGAGTTAACAATAGTGGGTTACCTCTCATTCTCTCATCAATTCAGATTAACCTGGCTTCTGAGCCCATCATTCCATTAAAATTGCTCTTGTCAAGGTTTCCCTAGAGTATTAGTTAGCTGATTTATCCAGAAGTATAGCTCAAATAGATGGAATATATATATATATATATATATATATATATATATATTTTTTTTTTTTTTAAGTTAAGAGACATGGAGAAAGAGAAGAACTAAATCTAATCAGAATTACATTAGGATGTAATACAGAGAATTCAGAAGAGGCAATATTTGAAGAGACAAGGATGATAGTTTTGCAAAATTGTTGAAAGTCATCAATACTTGAATCTATGAAGTTCTAACAAGTTCCAAGCAGGATAAACAAATAGAAATCCATAACCAGACACATCATAGAACTACAAAACATCAAAGAAAAAAAATATTCTTTACAGCCAGAGAAAAGACAAATCACCTTCAAATGAATCGCAACTAATGACTGACCAAATTCTCATTAGCAATGTAATATTAGCAATTGTGTTTATCGAAAGTAACTGTCAACATAGAATTCTACTCCCAGTGAAAATATTTTTTTAAAAACCCAGGTGAAATAAAGAAATTTTCAGAAAACAAAAACTTGAGATAGATTCTTATTTAAAGAAAGTCTAATAGCTGTGCTACTTCAGGCAAAAGAAAAAATGATCCGAATTAAAAATCTGAAATGCAACAAGGAATAGTATGACAAGATATTGGTAAACGTGTGGGTAAATTTAAACATTAAAAAAAGGGCTAAACTGACATGTACGGATCTTGAGATTATTATGCTAAGCAAAACAAGTCAGACAGAAAAAGTTTAGAACCATATGACTTCACTCATATGTGGGATATAAACTGAAAGCAACAAAGGAACAAGACAAACAAAGAAACAAAAACTCATAGAAAACAGACAACAGTTTAGTGCAGCGGTTCTCAACCTGTGGGTCGCGACCCCTTTGGGGGTTGAATGACCCTTTCACAGGGGTCGCCTAAGACCATCAGAAAACAAAAAGATATTNGTGCCAACTTGGGCCAGTGAAGCAACGTCCTCCACAACTAGACTGAAGAGCAAAAGGACAGCAACTTGTCTGTTCCCCTTCCCCCGATTCCCCAGCGCTGTTCCCCTCCCCCAATTCCCCAATAAAATCTTTAAAAAAAAAAAAAAGAGGATATAGTAAGGGTGCTGAACATAAGGCCAATATATACAAAAATCTGTATATACACAAGCTGTTTCTATACACAAGCAACAAACAAAAGATGAACAATTTAAAAGATAGCATTTAAAACAGCATCAAGAAAAACCAAATATCTAGGAAAAAAAATCTAATGAAAAGTGTATATGACTTCTACATAGACACTGTAAAGCATTACTCAGAGAAGGGGTGAAGAGTCTAAATAAATAGAGGGATATAGTGGGTTACAGTCCCAATACTGTAAATATGTCAGTTCTCCTTACCTTGAACTCTAGATTCAATGGAATTTCAGTTGAAATTCCAGTAGGTTTTGTGGAAATTAACTAATTTGAAATTTATATGGAGATGCAAAGGGCCTAGAAGAGCCCAG